TACTTTTGTATTTCATTATAGTCAGGATATTTATAAGATTTAAAGGTACTTGGACACAGATTTGAAGTTAATTTTTTCTCTATAATATTACGACTTATATATTTTAATAGCTTATCACACAAAAATTAATTAAAAATCTTATTAAATTTAAAAGTTATTAAAATTTCAAATTTTTTCGCGGGTTTGATTGACACATCCTTGCACTTTCACAAGTTTTAATTTTACTCCTAATACTTAGGAAAAGTATCTTGTTGTGTATAAATGATAAATATTAATACTATAATCCAGAAAATTCAGAGTAGACATGTTCGAAAGCAATACAAACACACAATATATTCTCAGTCCGTGCAGTTTTGGTGAGCAGACTTCGACAATTGAACGCACCCGGTGAATCGTAAACAGTCAACAATAACAAAGCTCTTGCCCTGTTTACAAAAACTGTGTACATAACACGAGTGTGATCGATTTGCACACAACACTTAGCTCGGAATGACGATACTTTTGAAGGAGTTTTGCTTTCTAACATTTCTACTCTGAATAAAATTATTTTTCTGGATTAAAGTTTTAATATTTCTCACTTTCACACAACAAGATTACCACTTGTCCGAAGGATTAAGAATAAAGTTAAAATTTGTGAAAGTGCAAGGATGTGTCAATCAAACCTGCCAAAAATTTTGAAGTTTTAATAACTTTTAAATGAAATAAGATTTTTAATAAATTTTTGTGTGAAATGCTATTGAAATATATAATTCGTGATATTATACAGTTTTTCTGAGAAAATATTAACTTCAAATCTGTGTCCAATTAAGTACCTTTAAACTATGATTCCATGATACTCAAGGCCCATGGGCCTCTAATAATGTTATTGAATGTAGAGTGATTGATTATTTAGAAATTAGGGGAAAAATATCAACCTACCAATAACACCTGAATTGTTGATCACTTGATTCTAGGCTGAGGGAGTAGAAAAACGTAGAAAAAAATATTTTTTTTAATTTTTACACCTTTATTCCTCACTTTTAGTAACATTAATTAATTCCATTACAAATTTTGGTTACAGTTATAAACCAGATTACCTAGAAGACATGTTGTCCTCTTGTTTTGATTAACAACTAGATTAATTACTTAATATTCTGAATCTTTTTTACATTTTTTTCAGATTTCTGGTGCATTTGATAGCAGTATCATTCAACATGCTTGTGATGATGAGGAAGCAAACATGTTTGCTAACTTAATGACATTCAATGAAAAAGTGTTTTTCTTTAAAACCAAGTTTCATTATGCTTTTATGATTATTATTGATGCTCGGAGGCACTCTCAAATTGAATGGAATTATGTGTATGGTATTCAAGGCCTTGGGAAATCATCATCTGCTCTGTATTATGTCTTGGAATGTAGGAGAAATAATGATGCTAATATTCATTACATTGACCTGCAACACATTGAGAAATGTGATGAAAACTTGGAGAAGTTTACATCCTTTTCTGAAAAAATTCCAGAAAACAGCTGCCTTGTGATAGATCATGTTACAATTTTCAACGACCATTATCGAGAGAAAATTTACAAAATTGTGAATAAAAAGGTTTCCAGATTTATTGTGATTGAAACAGGGTTTACTTCCAGTGCACACACAGGATCCATTGATTGTGGAAGGGAATTACAACTTGATGAGGATTCTTTTTTGACAATTTGGAATGGTACTTTGGTGAAGAAGGGATGTCAAGAACAAAGCCTTTCCCAGAAAGGAAAAGAAGTCTATGAGGAATTTTCGAAATTGTTTATAATGTCGCCTAGATTGCTTCATGAGGTGTTGGACTATATGTATAGCTATCGCAGCCTTGATAAAAAAGTGCAACAAGTTTTGTGGCAATACATAAAGATCAAACAGGCAGAGATTGCTGGATTTAAGGGATGTGGTGAAAATAAAACCTATGCCAAATTAATTCTTCACACTACACTTCTTCTAGAACATATTCCAGATGCTGGACCTTACATCTTTACAACAGAGCAGGCTAGAAAAGTCATGATTGCAGTAAATATATTTGAAACAAAATATTGCAAAGTAACCAAAGATGATATGGACAAATATGCAGAACTTTCAAAGCTTGGTCTTGATGAAGGAGACTCGTGTTTAAAGGTCTGGCATCTGCAACCATTTCTGTTTGGTGATTGGAAAAGGAAATTGCCATACAAATTTGAAGAACTTGTAGATGACTTGGCAGATGATGAAATTTTTCCCATCATGTTTCAGGCTGGTGGGGCAAGAAAAGAGTTTGTAAAACTTCTTTTACTAGTCCAAAAGAACCATGGAATTGCTCTTGTCCCCAAACCTTGCTATGTTGCAGAAACTGTATATGAGCCTTCAGATGCGCGATATCCTGTGCAACCAACAACTGGATGGCATCTTACCAGCATTCCACCTGAACATTTTTTCATGCCTACAAACGGGGTACTTGTTGATATACATGAAAAAGACATATACCCGATGGTTAAGGGTGTTGAAAGGAATGTTGCATTGTTTGCCATGTATATGAAGAAAAACCTGATACCATCACATGACTCTTTCGTTGTACATGTTGTATACCCCAAGGTTTATAATTCTATGGGTATTGATTACTTTGTGTATGAAAAAGTCAGAATAGATGTTGCTTGTTCCTCTGCAAAGATGCCAAAAGCAAAAGAAGATTCCATCCTGTATCGTATACAGGTTGCAACAGGAGCTAGTCATAAGGGAGATACCATGGGACATGCTCTAAATGTGGTGAAAAATATTCTCTCAGATGTCAATACCGTATGGCGGGTTATTTTAGCGGGGTGCTAATTTTGGCTTATTTTGGCGTTTTGATGATGGTCCGCTAAAATTTTAATCGCTAAAATAGTCTGTACTCTTCTAAGTGTCCATTTGCAAGGGGTTGAAACCCTTTGTCCGCTAAAATAAGTTACGCCAAAATTATTGGCATACCTTTGAGTAGACAAAACGCCAAATTTTACACCCGCCAAGAAAACCCGCTATACGGTATCACATTCCATTTTGTTGTTCTCACTGTGCGTGGTAATGAGATACCATACTGTTTGACAAAGAGCAGATTTGAGAACATCACAGTTCTGAACTTGTACGAAAACAAATCCACAGCATTTCAAGTAATCATGCAGTCAAATAAGTCATTGTATAAATTTTATTTACAGCTTGTTAAGTGCAATGTTGAGTAGTCGGACTCTTCCCCCACCCCAACACCACCACCCCAAAAAAACTGGGGGATCAAAAAAAAGATTTTCCATGTATGACATTGAAATCATGTTTCTACTCACCCTCTCAAGATTGTTTTATTTTTACATGTTGTAATTGTGCAAGTATCAAGGTCATGAATTTATCAGATATGGAAACATTAAAATTTTTAACCCATGCCCACCCTCTCTAAAGATTTGATTTGGTTTTAAGAAACTATTATTATTTTTCAGTGGTTTCCCATTGTCATCTATTGTCAAATGCAAATAATTCAAGGCTCAAGTGAGCTTTTCTGATCAAAATTTGTCTGTCGTTGTTGGCTTCGTCATAAACTTGTCACATTTTCATCTTCTCCTCAAGAACCACTGGGCCAATTTTAACAAAACTTGCCACAAAGTATCCTTGAGTGAAGAAGATTCAAGTTTTTTTTTCAAATTAAGGGCCACTTCGTCTTCTAAGGGGAGATAATTATGAATTGTTGAAAAATTAATGGCATTTTTAAAAACTCTTCTCAAGAACCACTAGGCCAAGAAAGATGACACTCATGTGGAAGCATCCTCAGGTATTTTAGATTCAGGTTTGTTCAAAGTGTTCTTCTTAAGAATAGCAAAGCTATGATTCATTTTTTTTTTTTATATCGAAGCATCCTCAGATGGTGCGTATTCAAGATTGTTCAAATCATGACCTCCATGGGGTAGGGTGGGACCACAATGGTTGATCAAAGTTTTTGTATTTTTCCTAGCCAGTGCTCAGGTGAGGATTGTGGCCCCGGGGCCTCTTGTTACATGGAAGGTGTCTGAATATATGTGAGAGATATAATATTTAGGAATCACCTTGTCTGTCTGCCTGTCCTTCCAGCCTTAGTAATAGATCATAGTAATTGAGTTTGTCAGCTCATCAATTACAAATGTTTCCCCTACTATATTACATGGAAGATACATGTATAAAAAAAACATGATTTATTAAAGCGGTCAGATTTTTTTCATATATAAAAAAGTGTTGCAGGTGTACTGTAGATTCCTTATTTTTTGCGAGTATTTTTTATCGCGAACTGGCTCTTAACTGTCAAATCGCGAGAATTATAATTTGCGAATGGACAGTTGATCAACAGATTTTACAAAGATTTCAGCACCATAAAAATAAAAGCGAGTAATATTTTTTCGCAAATGATGCTTCTCATGAAATTACGCGGAAATTAATTCCTCTCATATAATAAGGAATCTACAGTAATTATTTGTACTGTATTTATATCACTATATTAAGTTTGTTAACAAAATAATCTTTAATAGTGACTTCAAGGTTTCTTTGACATACTGTACCATGTACATGTAAATGTGTTCATGTTAGAAATCATGTATTAGGTAAAATAATTACATCATAATTTTGTAACTGCATTGCCAAAGAAGAATTTGTATTTAAATAAAAAAAAAGTACACTGAAATTTTAAAACATTTTTATCTTGGTTATCAAATATACATCTCATGTTTGTACACAGAAAATATCTACATTTGTACAACATAATTGGAATATTCCACAGTGTTAATATGTACAATGTAAGAAGAGAGTGTCCGATGTAATATCACAAACTGGACAGTATCACAAACTCCACAGTAAAATAAGCAATGCTGGGACCACAACATATGCATGTAATGACATGAATTGATGCAAAACGTTTCCTATCAATTTTTTGTTACCCTTCACAAGGACAAAATCTTCCTCATCCGTACTAAAAATGGAACATAAAATCTGGTTTACATAGCACTGATCTTATTTTTGTTTTCACTTGGAGGATACTAAACAACTAGTAAAATATTCACATTGACAGAAGCAAAAACTGATAATCTGCTACATGTTTATGTGAAATATGCAAATTTATGAAACTTTCTTATAGTTTGCTCTCCTTTAAACATGATCTACTTAGAAAATGAGTTATCAGAAAACATACTTTGAGAACAAAAGTAAATCGACCAGTGATTAATGCAGAGACATTCTTTCGTACAGAATTTTATCATGGGAAAGATAAACCCACTATGAGAACTAAGTCACTAAGAGTAAACCTGTTACCTTAGATTGGTTATAAGTGAAAGATCTGTAGTAAAAGAAAGATTGACCCACATAAGTGTTACTGTGCCAGACATGCCTGACATTTTAACTATCTGTAGTAAAAGAAAGATTGACCCACATAAGTGTTACTGTGCCAGTCACACCTGACATCTTAACTATCTGTAGTAAAATGAAGATTGACCCACATAAGTGTTACTGTGCCAGTCACACCTGACATCTTAACTATCTGTAGTAAAAGAAAGATTGACCCACATTAAGTGTTACTGTGCCAGACATGCCTGACATCTTAACTATCTACATGTATATATTTAAGGTGAAGGACCAAACGCTTCCCTTAGGAATGATGAAAACACTACATGTACAATAAAATCAACACATGATTAATATAAAAGATTCCCATAAACAGAGAAGCAGTTGGTGACACAGCATTACAATAGAGCAGTTCATTACAAGGATCAATTTACAATCACTTCAACTTCAGCTACTACATCATTTAAATTTTCGAAGGTACATAAATAATCGTTTCACAGTATCAATACTTATGGTATGTTTGTTAACAAAAGGGATAATAATTATTTCTAAATATATTAAATAAGCATACAACAAAAGTTCAGCAAGATGCTTGAGGGCTTAAGACCTTAGTGTAAAATACAATTTATCTTTGTGTACCATATTTCATTAGCACTAACTTTATAGAAAAAAAATGATATAATGAATTTAGATCTATTTATCTTACTCCTTTCAAAGGATTCTTTGTAGATCTCAGCTTGTCAAGTAGAGCAATAATAATGTCTGACCAAATATCATGAATTTTAGTAAAAATTTGTATTTTTCTCATCTCTAATTGAAAATTTACTTTAAACATGTTAAAAAACTGCTTTTTCACAATCATCATAAAAATGATCTAGTATACTTCAGTACTTTTTCAGTATAAAATAATTATTTTAGAATAATGCTTAATGTACATGCAAGTAATATGTATAAAATATCTGCATGTAAATATGAGGAATGATTTAAAATAACATAATAAAACAGCGGTTAAATGCTAACATTGCACTATTAGAGTAAATGTTCACCAGCATCTAACTTTTCCATTAAAAATTCATCAGAGCATCATCAATTATTCATCATACCTATATCCAATACGAAACAATATCATGACAGCAAATTCAAAAATGTTGAAGATCAAATAATATTTGTTTTTATATTATGACTATCATTTCTACATTCTCATCCCTGGCATGATCATTAAATGAGGTCAAATAAAGCAAAAATATCACACCATACACATTCAATATGGCATATCTTATATAATGGAAAACCATTTATAACTCTGTGGTAAACCGCTATTTTGGAATACCACTGATCAATGAACGTGAATACAACAATATCACACGGAGAAATGAAGTAAATTTTCATAACAATGTGACCCGTTAAGCACATCCATCAGACAGAGAAAGAAACGACAACGAATACCTCTGGTCACTTATTCACAAATACCACATCGCCGTAGTGACAGAATTCTCCTTGTAATATACAAGGGATGAAAACAGCTGATTGCCAGTGGACCAGGCCTGGAGGTTCTGTACAATATGGAGATGATGTCTACTCTCTCGACTGATAAAACAATATGTAGCCTGTCTCGGAATTCTTCTGCAAGTCTGATGGGATTCCATAGAAATCTTCTATTGTACTGGAATCGATTTTCTACAAAATGTAACCCATTTCTTTCAAAATTATCCAATAAACTGCCATTGTTTGCAAGCCATTTCATTTCTCTTTCATTACCTTTGAAATCATTTATGCATGCATGAATAAAATAAAAATATAATAAAAAATATACAACTATTCAAATAAAGTTCACAATCAAAAAGACAAAAGAACTTAATTCTTTTTGGATACATTGTATGTAAACAGTTATGTAAAACTTTATAAACCTTTTACCTGATATAAAACATTTATTTAAAAATAAAATAAACTAGTGCTAATTGTAACGGGAACCGTTACAGATGTTCCCCAAACGCTCCCCAACTTCCTTTTGGTGCCGTATTCTCTGTAAGCCTCATTAAATAAGACAAACTCTGTGCATTTTTGACTTTGACAACGTTTTCCCAGAAGGATACCAAATATATTCAATTTTTAGCATTGCACACGTGCGCATGTGAATGCATGTTCGTTATGACCATATTATCTTGTCTAATATCTATATATTTTAATATGCTATATATTAAAGTATTCAGTCCAAAAGTATTGAAAATCACTCATTCAAGTGTATTTTTAATTCCACTCGTTCCAAATGCACGCACGTGCGTGCACGTGTAGGATGTCATACCTTCTTGTAGGAGTCTCTTATATCTATATATGTTCTAAATCCCATCCTGTTTAGTTGAAAAACAAGGAAGTTATAGCCATTTCAAGTTTCAGCCAATCAGATTGCAGCACACATGCATGCGCGTGATTTCATGATTTTTTTTTCTATATCGTATTGTAGGTTATCCTATTGCATGACTATGTTTTAAATTTCAAAGCATTTCGTCAAACAACAAAGGAAATATAGCCATTTAAAGTTTCAGCCAATCAGATTGCAGCACGCACATATGCGCATGCTTTCATGAAAATTTTTATATATCATGCTGTAGATCTTCATAATGTAGGACTATGTTCAAAATTTCAAAAGATTATGACAAGAAACAAGAAAGATATTGAGACTTTAGTTTCAGCCAATCAGAACGAAGCGCACGTGCATGCGCGTGAGATCTTGCTATTTTGACCATGCCATCTTGTCTATATTACTAATGTATTCTTACATTATGAGTTTCAAAAAATTTCTTCAAAAAAAAGAAAAGTTACAGAAATATCCATTATATTGGTCATTTCACGTGTTGCACGTGCACGCTCTTGCAAGCACGTGCGCGCAAAATGACCTTCGTTCCGCAAATCTACATAACATGTCTACTGACCCTAAAGAGGTTTTACCTAAGTCGGATGTGTAGTTTACAAGATCACTCCCGGACAAAAAAGTACCCAGGAAGAAGAAGAAGAAGAAAAATAATAATAACTAGATATGAAACTCGTTGCGAGCAACGAGAGGTCTTCCGTCCGATTCAGAAAAAAAAAAACGTAAAATCAAATTGAAAATTGATTAAAAAAATCGATAAAGACAAAAGCAATTTTAATATACGTTTTGGAAAACCTTGGCGTGAAAATCCATTAGCCATTACACCTTTGGGAACCCGCTTCAAATTTAAAATGCGATATCATGAGATTGCCTTTTTTGATTCTTACATAAATAACATATTTTGAAAAATTCAATGTGCAATTATAAAATGAGATCTAGCTTGCAAAACTTTGCCCAAGAATATCACATCGGAATTTGTTACTCGAGTCTGAAGAGATAATCTATTACTGATGAACAAATGATACTGTTTACTTTGTTTTATTCGATATGTATTCAACTTTTAATTCAATGCAACTCCATATACAGGCATGCCAATGGTATCTATTACTGCACTTCTGTTGTCTTTTGTCTACTAGTTAAGTCGGGTCACGATACATTATTTCGCACCAAACGTCACGAGTATTTCTTAAAGCTATTCCTTTGAAATGTTTGATCTTTTGAATGGATGTGATAGCTTCAATGAAATTTAGAAATGTATGTTCTTAACACCAGAATTTCGAGCTTTAGAAAGAATATTTATCACATTGTACAAATGTAATATCGTATGGAGTCAAGTAACATTAGAGCAGTGATTTCGGTAAGATTTTCCACGAATTTTGTATCCTGTTTACCCCTAAAGTGGACTCTTCCAATTAGTTACAGATTCTTGAAAAGACTGGAATGTTTCTGAAAAAAAAATCTCTCGCTCTCCAACGGTCAAGGAATCCGATACTTTTTATGTACAATAACTTTATTACAAAAATATTCAGACAAAAGCAATTCTTATAGTCTTTTGAGGAAACCTCAGATTAAAACTATAAACTGAAATAGAAATGCAACGTAATTGCGACGTGACAATCCAACGAATCCTTTACATTGATCTTTATGGTAGAAGTTTCGTTCATTCAAACGCTGGGCTGACCTTCTAGACTCCGACTTGCCTAATGGCGGAGTTTACCGAGACAGCCGCCATTTTGGACCCGCTTCAGATTTTTAAATGCGAATATCTAGTGTGTGTATTGATCAATTCTAAAATAAATTATATATTTGGCCTTTCCAGTAGGGTCTGCAATAATGTTAATAATATCAAAGAAAAATATTGAAAAACAAAAAAAGTTGAAAAACGGCACATTTTTAATTCGCTTCCTGCAGCGACCGGAATTACTGACGACGCAAATGATGGCAAAATTGCACATCTATAACTTATGATCTATCGTCTCTAATAAGTCTCCAGTGAATATCTTGAGCCTTTTTCGAGAACATTCGAAGACTAAAATAATTTTAAAATCAGGAAATTGCCCATAACTTGACACTGGAACCGAATTTTCCAAAGAACGAAATTTTATATAAAATTCATATAATGAGCTATAATTCCTGAAAATTTCATTGAAATCTACTGAATAGTTTACGAGAAATCGCCTGCACAAAATTTGGTCAGAAGAAAAAAGAATAATAACTAGATGAGATCTCGTTGCGAGCAACGAGTAGGTCTTCCGTCCGATGTTTCGATGAGATGAGATATGATTTTGACTATGATCTTTGTTACAAAATAATGATATCAAAACTTCTCTCACTTGATTAAATTGTTTTGATTTATTTAACAATATCAAATACTTATAGATGAACGTGATTTGGCCCCTAATTTTAGGGACCAGCCCCTTTTTCTTGACTTCAAATGAAAGGTCTCGTGATTTTGAAGACTTTTTGTTCAGTGCCTATTCACAAATTTCTTTTCGTTGAAGATATATCTTGAATGAAAATATTTAGGGGCCATCTCTCCAACTCCTTAAAAGGGCCAGTTTTCAAAAATTCAAAGTATCCATATTGTTTAGAACATTATACCGACCATCTTTTGTTCAATATTGCTTATTAAAATATTCCCCCTTTTCGAGATATAAAGCATCAAAGAATTAATATTCTGGCCCCTTGTGACCCTAATTACGTAACATATGATAAAAACTTTACAATATATTGTTGCCAATTGTTAAGATAAATATCTTTGCTTCTGTAATGTATCACAAAATATTGATCATTTAGGAGATATAAGTGAAAGACGTTTAGCCCCTTTGAGCCCCTTATTTGAGGGGTCAGCCCCTTTTTCTTGATTTTAAATGAAAGGTCTTGTAAAACTCCACAACTTTTCTTCAATATGTTTGTACAAATTATGAATAGATACGAAGTTATGAAACAAAACGTGTCATATTTTGTGAGATATTTCTGAGACATATTTTTGGCTCTACCGAGCATCGGCGCCATTTGCGCTAGAAAGATTTGGACACCTGTCTGCAACTCAGCTAACCTTCCTCTACTTTCACTGAAAATCTTAAGTCAATATCTTAAGTCGTTCCGGAGGAGTTTCCAGGACAAGCCGACCCCCTAAAAATAGGAAAATCGTCAATATCCCACGACCGGAAGTGACGTCATCGACGACTTAAATTTCCGACAAGGTTCAGATGAATATCTATCAGATCTGAAAGTTTGGTGAAAATCTGTTGAGCCATTCCCGAGAACTCGCGTGCACAAAATCGGTAAGAAAAAAAAAGAATAATAATAGGGAAAAAGAAACCGAACGAAAACAATAAGGTCTTCCGTTGGAAACAGAAGACCTTAATAACTAGAGCAAAGCTCGTTGCAAAGCAACGAGTAGGTCTTCCGTCCTGTTTTGACCAGAAGTGACGTCAACAAAAGAAAGCAATGAGCTAAGTTGTCTCCCTTGACTTTATAATTTCAATTTTGCGTCAAAAACTTAAAAAATAAGCTATTTTTGTCTACTTCCGGTTTGACCGGAAGTGATGTTGACGGACGGAAAATTAAGTTTTTATGCTTCCAGTGACATGTGTTACCCAAAAATATGTCAAGAACGACAAAAATATGCATTTTCGTACTACTTCCGGTTTGACCGTAAGTGACGTCGCCGGATGTATTTTGATGACCCAGATAGATTAAGCTGATCATTTTGAACAACTTTGCTTCTTTGACGTATTACAAATTCTTAATACTTTTTGACATATAAAGGAAAAACTTTTGGCCCCTCTCGGCCCTTAATTATAGGGGCCAGCCCTTTTTCGAAAATATCGTTTGAAAGATCAAGTGATTTTGAACAACTTTGCTTCTTTGACGTATTACAAATTCTTAATACTTTTTGAGATATAAAGGAAAAGCTTTTGGCCCCTCTCGGCCCTTAATTATAGGGGCCAGCCCTTTTTCAAAAATATCGTTTGAAAGATCAAGTGATTCTACACTTCTTTTGTTCTATATATCTTAACGAAATATTTGTATGTGAAAAGATATCGAAGAAAAAGTCTTAGAAATTTTAAAATTCTCGACATGCCCTTTTTCGGACCATAGCGAGCGTCGGCGTGCAGCACTTCCGGTGAAAATGAAATACGTATGTCACATCTACATATACTGCTTTATCTTTGCTGAAAAACTCAAGTTTCTATCCTAAGCCGTTTTTGAGAAAACTCGCGGACAAACTGACCCTCTGAAAATCACTAAATCGCGGAAATCTCAAAACCGGAAGTGACGTCATCAAAACAAAAAATTATATATCAGGTTTGTTTGATGTTCTATCAGGCCTGAAAGTTTCATGAAAATCGAGC